GCAACCCCCCTGCGGCGGGGGGAAAGCAGCAGAAAAAACAGCCCCACTCTCAGCCCTGGCACCACCACATTTATTAAAAATTACTACTATGTACAGGGGGGGAGGGGGGAGAAAACCAAGCTGCACAGGGAGGAGATCGTGTGCCAGCACTCTAGGGGCAAACTGCTTAAAAGGGCTGAAAACTAGAGATAGGCGAGAAGAGGGGGTAAGTTACATCACTTCCAGTTTTGTACAGGGCAGCTGAAAAAGTCACCTTACCTACACGTAAATAGAAATTTGATTTTCTTTTTAAATAAGCAATGCATTTGCAACGCTCTGTATACTAAGTTTTTTTTAATCAAAGAAAATGCCTTTAGGACTTAAAAGCACCACTGAAGGTCCTGCCAACTGAACTGCTATAGGTAGACTATTTATACATTATTCCACAATATTCTACAGTGTACTAGACAAAACACAACTGTACACTTTGATTCTTTTTGGCCACCTTAACAAAGGTTAGGCTTTTGGGATGGAGCCATTTTTTCCCCCTTATGCAAGTCCTAGACTAAAAGAAGTCAAATTTGGTCCCTGTAAGCCCATCATTGGCAACAAGAGCTTCAAGACAAATCTGCCTGGCACGCAGGCCTTATTTTGAGTGTGTTCTGCCAAGGAAAGACCTATCTGAGCAATATTCACCTCTGCCAATCGTGCTGCGGCTCAGCCTAAAGCAGAACAGTATTTGTGCAGCGCTACCCCCCCCAACCCAGCCCCTTTCCATCAAAGAGGTAGGCAGGGGAAAAAAAAGGGGGGGAATTTGGGATCCAGACTCCCTGTTTCCTGCTCAGGAGTGCATAGATTTCATCAGGCCTCTGAGCCAAGTCAAACTGTACACTTTAGTGTCTCCAATAAATAAGCCGCACTGTAAAAGTCTAGGCTCTTGCTTACAGCTTCCACATGTGGTTCCTTCTCAAGCTAAGACTTCTGTTAAACTTTGCTCTCTCCCTACTTGGTTACCTGCAACAGTCAAAAGCTTTGGCACCTTCTTTAGAATTGCACACAACAATTCAAGGTGGAAGGCAAGAGTCTTTTTGGCAATTGTAATGCAAAAAAACCAAGGCCACCCTGAAAAAAATTAGCCAATGGGGATAAAAGAACACTTTAAGAACTAGTATAGAATGCATAATAGCCCATGCCTTTTGAAGTGTCTTTGCTATAGTCCTCAGCATTAATGTCCTCACATTTCATAGTCGGGGAATTCTCATTGCTTGAAGTGCTAGGGGAGAGTCGCCTTCTCTTACAAGCACCCGTGTAGACCCCAGAATCGTTTGAATCTAGAGACTTTATGGAGGGTGGAGTCTCTATCCATGATGAGCCAATTTCTTCCTTGACCTTCTCCTTGGAAAGCTGGTCTTCAGAGAAACCCGGAGGGCTTGTTCGGGAGGTCCACGGTAATCCCGTTGTCATTTTTCTCTGGTAAGAGCCTCTGCTCCCCCAGCCTGCCATGGATGGAAATGTTGGATCAGGGTAATATCCCAGAGCATGGGATGTCTGCAGGGGAAGGGATTTAATGCCGTACGGGAGCAAGGTACTCGGCGAATACTCCGTCTCGTAGGAGTTCATGTCCAACTTGTTGGCGCCGGGCTGCTGTACAGGGGTGACGAACCAGCGCTGCGGAGGACTGGCCACCTCCTCACCCTGCTGCGGCGAGAGCAAGCCGTTCGCCTGCGGGACCGTTCGCTCGCCGTTGTAAAACCTGGCGGGGGGCAGGTTGTTCACAAACTGCTCCTGGAAGAAGGGCTGCACGCTGTACCGGGCACCGGGGACGATCTGGTGGGATCTAGGAGAATCCGTGGGAGATGGAGTTAATCTGTCATTTTCTGAAGCTGTGTACATGCTACAACATAAAAGAGAAATACTGAGTGGTGTCCTTTACAACTCCAGGCACACTACTAAAACAACACACTGAACAAAAAGAAACCAAGTTAACACTGAATCAGAATCACAGCCAGGTTTAACAGGCTGAAGTCCACTTTTTATTCATTTGTTTTAGGAGTTCACATTGTTCCTAGACAAAAGTACAGAATCGCTGCTACAGATATATCCTGTTCTCAGCAGGGCAACCCATTTTAAGTGAGGCACATTTTTCCCCTGGAAGCAATGCTTGGGTATACACAGCTTTTCAGAGCCATTTGTAGGCATCATGAGAACATTAGACAGATCTTCTCGTCGCGATCTGAAGGAGCTGCCTGCTCTATGGATATACTTGAATTACCAATACTAGCCTTCCAGGCCAAAGAATCTGTTAGACCATTTGCCCAAAATTCAGAAGCCTGCTGGAAGACACACACTAGCTACTAAAAATATCTCTCTAGACAGAGGTTTGAGGCCTTTTAAGTCACTGCATCAGCTACCAGAACTGCTAGTAGAAACATTACTGCTTCAGAAACACTGAAGTAGCATGGAAGAGCTTTGTCCCTATACATACAAATACTCAGGCCAGAATCATCTCCAACAAAGGCAGTTACAAGAAGACAGAAATGTACTTACGAGTCATAGTTGTCTCTGAAGCCTTTTGCAAAAGGATTATGATCAATTTTGAGCTGTGTAATCTTAAAAAAGAAAGCAGAATATAGTAAGATGATATGCTGAGCCCATGCAGCTTAAGTTTACTAATTCTCATTTCATACACCCATGCTTACATCAGTGTTTTGATAGGCTGTAACTGCTATGAACTGCGTTTCAGGAAAAATAAATGTTTGAGTCTTCGAAGAATCATTCAAATCTTCAACACCATCTTCAGTCACTTCGACAATATGAAGCCGAGGTTGGTATTTATGCAGAGACTGCAGTACTATCATCTGGAAGAAATGATGTAAGAGATAAGTTGTTTACACAAATCACATTTAACATTAGCACTTGTAAAAATGGTCAGGCTATAAAATATTTTAATTTTTTGACTTGAGGATGAATCAGTTTTAACTCGCAATAGGAGACAATTCACCACTTTGGCTCTTATCTTCACTAAGATGCTAAACTCTGCAAATGCAGAGGACCAAGAAATAGAAGCTAGACCTTCATTTGTGCATTCCTCTGGAGAAAGACACATTTGCTAAAGACAAGGAAACCCACACGCCTACTTCTGACATTGTCTTTTTTCAAAGCTGGTGAGAATGAAAGGCTTGCAAGCCATTTAAGGAGGGGACGAGTCACAGAGCCAAGGATGTGGCAGCCCGAGGGCGAAGCCGCAAGCCAGCGGCATGGGGGACGGCAGGCAGGGGCTCCTACCTGCGCGTTGTTGTTGTTGGCACCCTTGTTGTTCGTCAGCTTCAGCTTCCCAAAGGAGATCTCCTGGCGCATCCAGTGGGCCCCGGTGTTGGGCGATTCGGGGTGCACATAAACCTTGTTGCCTGGCCCAAAACAAGTGACTAAGCGTGAAGCCGAGCGGGGGGGCTCGCGGGGCGCGGCCGCAGCGAGGCAGCACGCGGAGCCGCACGTACCTTGCATGTTGTTGTCGGCTTTGCCGCAGGGCAACCACTTTCCGCCCCGGTCTGGGCAACCAAGGAGCTCAAGGTCTTGTGTTGGCTTGAGACGTGTGTGGTCCTTCCCAAAAGGACCTCCCTTCCCTTTGGAGAAATGGAAACTAGTTAGAGGTTGATGAGGTTTGGAAAGGGGCTTGCCTGAGAAAAGCACCAGCTGCTCAGCAGAGGATTTTGAAGCTTCTCAGTCTCTTAATGAGAAGCAGGATATATCGGCATCTGCAGAATTAGCTAGTGCTGATCTTTCACTTCTAAATCTCTCTTTTTTTCTTTTCTCTCCAGAACTCCCTAGAAAATGCACCTGCTGGTAGCACGGCCCCTTCTCTGTGCTTTTCTGCAGTAGTTCCCCAGCTCTGGAGGAGGCTTCAGAGGGTCTAAAATTAAAAGTTTTCTTCTTTTGCCGTGTCTAGGACATGGAGCCCAAACTTAGGGCATTGAGAACCCCCAATTCAGCCCCTGCAGAAGGGCTTTGCCCAGCAGAGATTCTTGTGGATGCCAAGATGTGCAATGCCCATGAAAACCTCATGCTCAAGCCTGGATCCCAATTTGTGAATTAGACACTATGTCCAGCAGGATTTATAGCAGCCTGCAAGAGCTGGGAAGGGAGCAAGCATGTGCTCCTGCTGACTGCACAGAGGCAGTGGGAATAGGAGAGAGGAAAAAAAGGGGGGAGAAAAAGGGATTATTCCATTATTTTGAGCTACATATATACATATTGAGCTCATATAGCAAAGAGCGCTTCTCAATTCGTTTTTCCTGTTCACAGCCTGTCCTCAGACCATCAGTCAGCCAAGCATCCCGGATGGTTTCTGATCGGCTCCGGCGGCGCAGGTGGATCTAGCAGCTCCCGTGGGATGCACCGTCTCGCGCTCTGGGAACACAGCCCCTTCTTGATGAGAAATGCTCTTTGCAGCAGCCAGCCAGATGCTTACGGCATCACCACAGAAGAAACAGCTAGTTGATGCTGTGGTATCTCCTGGAAGGGTTTCCCTGGGGTAAACCAGTGATGTTCGGTTGCCTTGAGCTGAGTTTTGCTCAATCCTCAGCCTTTCTCGCACTTTTTGAGTGCGGAGAGCCTCCAGGCCTGATGACATGGAGATATTTTGCTCAGCCAGCACTGAATCTCATCTTGAAAAGTGTCACAGCAAAGGGGAGAGCTGCCGGAAAGGTGTGATGCCTGGAGGAAATCCAGTTAATTCAATAATGAATTTGGGCTGCTGCAAATCTCAGCTGTGCATTTTGGAGGAATGTGGGAGTTTGGGGGAGTTTCATATCGCTTCCGTCTCCTGTAGGAGCAATTGGGCTGTCCTAGCACTGCAAAGCGTTCGCTTGATGTGCTATGCTCAGCTGAGGACGTCACCCTGTCTCGTTCGATTTGTGCAAACCTTTATGCGAGAGGGGTTTTTGTGAGCACTGATGTTTGCAGCGGCTGCAGTTCTGACAAACTAGGGCATGAGCAAGACAGAAGGGATGACTTATTAAATGTCTCTTGGTGTGTGTAGATATACATATATATATACATATATATGATCATATCTATGTGTGAATATATATACGTAGGGGGTGAGACCTCTGGCCCTGGCTCTGCTCTTGCAGGTAACCTGGGGAAGGACCAGGCTGAGCATCTTGCTGTCTCTAATACGTGCTGGCTTCCCACTGAGCAGTTACCAGCAGCAAGTCCATCAGTTAGAAACGTTCTTCTATGTGGGGCTCGAGCAGAGGGAAACTGGCCTTACGTGGCCCGGCAAATGGTTCAGATGAATAATTCAGCTCACCAAAGTGCACTTGCTAATAAAAGGGGACGGGAAATGAGCTGCGCTAGTGGCTGCACCGCGTTGTCAAGCCAACTTGCAAGTGAGAGCAAGAAGCGGGTGCTTTGCTGCTTCTCTCCTGTGTTAACATCAAGGGAAGGTGCCGAGCCTTGCACGAAGGCATCGAGGTTTTTCATTGCCTGTTTCTACCGGGGTCGTATGAGCAGGCCAGCACCATGCTATGAGTGTTGGGATGCTGTATTTAAAGGAATGCTGCTACTGGTATTGCAGTTTGGAGCCCGTGCTTGGAGGAGGAGGATTTGACAGGCACCCCTGTGCAATGGGAGTGTGAAGTGGGACAGCCCTCTGTGCTCTGTGGCCGTGTGCTCAGCTCCCTATCGGAGCCTTGATCATCTTATCTGCTCCGTGAGCACAAGGGATATTAACATCCTTGCTCGAATGTTCGAGACCGACTGGGGAAACCCTATGATAAGATGGAGGGGTTGCTAGGAAAAGAGTTGAAATTCCTTCCCGTTTGTTTTCACCACGCTGGTGCATCCAGGTGCTGCAGAGCAGGGCTCAGGCTGGTTCCATGCAAGTTGGTGCAGGGAAGCAGACAGAAATCGCATTCCCCAGAGAGCAGGGAGGAAGCGGGAAGTGCAGCAGCGCTCCAAAGGGCAGCTCTTCTCCCATCCCTCTTCCCTGCTGCCGTTGTGCACTGCTGGTGTCCGGACAGGCGCACGGGGACCAAGGTGACCTGGCAGAGCGAGGTTTCCAGCTGGATTTACGCACATGACACGCTCCTCGGTTGGCCTCTGCTTCCTCCATCACTATTAAAGTTAAGGGACCGGTGAGGGTGGCACTGAAGCAAAGAGCCTTCAGGGGTAATTAGGTGGCCAAGGAAGCTCCACAGCTTCCTCCAATTCCCTCTGGAAGCGGCACCAGGAAGGAGGCAGCGCTGAGTGCTGCACTCAGAGCCCAGATCACTTAGAGGGTGCCACGGCTCTTTCTCTGCCTTCCCCAGCTCTGCATTGGGACCGATTTGAGGAGGGTGCGGATGCGTTTTGCAGGGGTGGCCATGGGTTCACGAGCCCCAGGATCATGCTGGCTGCAGCATCTGCACCCTGCACAGCACCTCTGCACCGTGCAACACGGCTGCACCACCAAACACTGGGGAAAAAGCACCAGGCTGCGGGAAGCAGCAATCCCTGAGCAAAGCAACAGCCGGACATTTAAAGCAGATGTGAAACAAAGTGGGGCCTCAGGATGAGCAGCTCCAGCAATAACAGCACATTCCCCTTTGTCCCTTCCCGGGCTCGAGTTGGTCCTTCCACAACATCAGCCTCTCTCTGCACAGGGGATGCTCCACAGGTCAAGCCAAGAGACACAGGAAAAGAGCCTTGCAGCTAACCTGGAGGAGAAGCAGGATGGGGAAAAGGAACAGAGCTCCTTTGAAAGCCACGGGAACTTTCAAGCCCCTAAATGCCAGGGATTAGGGAAATTCTGGATTTTCATCAAAACCTTTTGACTTTGCCTGGCCAAACAGAACAGATTGTGTTAGAGCCAGTCCAGAGACGCAGAGGAAAGCAGGCCAGCTCTTTGAGCTTTCTCTACAATTTAATTTCCAATTTGCAAAAAATCCTGGCCACTCTAATAAGATCAACAAGAGCCAAAGGATATTTATGAAAATACATAGCTCCTGCAAGGTTTCGACAAGGAGCTGCACATCTCAAGAGGGGACCCAAGACTGTAAATAACAGATGATTTCTGAGTGCATCCACGATGATCGCTGTCATATTTTTGTCATCCCTTCCTGCTCTTGGCTCCCATTTTACACATATTGGTAATTCTGGGTAAAGAACTCCTTTATTCCCCCTCCGTGAGAGTTAATGATGTTGCAAGGAGGTGGTTGTACCCTGGGACCATTTTGCCTACGTTGGGGCCAGCAGAGCCCAATTTCCTCATTGCTGGAGCAGGCAACGCGTGTGCTCCGAGCTGCCTGTTCCCATGCGGACTCGTCTCCGGTCTGAGCAGGGCTGGTGCCCAGCAGTTCTTCCCCGTTATCTGCTGCTGTCCCTTTGCCCGTTGCTCTCCCAGCCGTTGTTCTCCCTGTTATCTCCTTGGGCCACTCGTCAGCTGGAGCCAGGCTGGGTTTTTCTGCTCACTCTGGCCCCACAAAGTCTGGTCTCCCCAGCTCAGTCCTAGGGACAGGTATCTCCAGGAGGAAAATTATCACCCTGTGCCTCCTTCTGTGCTTGTGCTCCTGGAGCCAAAGGTCCCTAGTGAGCCATCTCCCTTCCAATGCCCCCCAAATATCCATGCAGCTCCAGGAAAAGCTTTAGAGATGCCAATTGGAGAAGCTTTTCCACGCCGGCGTGACTTCAAGCATCGCTATTCAGCAGCCTTCAGAAATGCAGCATTTTGGTGCCTTCTGCTCTTTGCACAACACCAGGAATTGTAGGAACCCCCCCGAGCGCAGCTGGGCTCAATAACTGCGGATGAAACACAAACAGCCTTCCCGGGCCCGGTACGTATATCCTGCTGCTCCGGCTGGTTTCTAAACACAGAGCGCAGGGAGCATCGATTGACATCTCATAAACTATTGAAAAGGGAGGGGAGGCTGTTTCTGCAGCCTAAGAACACAAACGGTCTGGAGAAAACATAAAGGGAGAGCTTTAATTTTGAGCTTAGCCTTAGTGAAAGGATTTAGGCAGTTGGGTACATTTAAGAATACCTTGGCCTCTCATTTCTCTGCTTTTCCTGGAATATCTATTACAGGGCAACTTTGCAAAGTTTTATTGCAAATATGCAAATAGCCCAAGCACAGAAATACTCTGTGGATTCTTCTTTTAAGAGGAAAAAGCAGCTGCAGATTGGGAGGGAGGCTTCTCAGCTTTCCTTCCCCCTGCTGTGCGGTGAGCACAGAAGTTCTAGGGATTTTTTAATGCATCACGAATTAAAATAACAGTGGATATCCATGAAGCTCCTGAATTCTCTAATACGTTAGACTGTAGCTGAGGAAATAATTTGCCTTCTTATGAATGTATAACCAGCAAGGCATAAAAGATACTGCAGAAACCACTGATGACTGAGAAATCACCACGATAGTGAGAGAGTCCTGATAGCATCAACGTCTTCCTTCAAATTTCAGGATCAGCAAACAAAAAGGGAATTTTGGAGTAGCATTTACTGATGCCTCTCTGAGCAAGGCCTCATAAAGAGAGCAGAGGGGAAAAAATATGCATTGGAGAGGTGCCAAATGAGCGGCGCGAATATTTGCGGTGGGACTGGGCTTGGGAGAGGCGGGTGCCGAGGCTGGACGCCGCTGTCTGCCCT